CAGCAGTACCTGCATTCCGTCCTTTTTGAGCTCGGCTTCACTCAACTGCCGCACTACCTCGGAATGTATAGGCGGGAATCACGCGGAAAGTTCATCCTCCTCGTCGCCTACGTCGACGATCTCCTCTACACCGGGGACGACACGGAGCTACTCGACCAATTCGAGGCCGACATCAAAACGAAACTTGAAGTCACCGTCAATCACAACGTCACCCAATTCCTCGGCCTCAACGTAACCCAGTCCGCCTCCTCCATTCACCTCTCCGCCGCCAAATACGCCGAAACACTCGCGAAGCGGTTCGCCATCGCTCCCATTAATCTCACTACCCCCTACCGCACTCCTCCTCCTAACCACGAGCCCGACACCACGCCACTCTCTCCTAACGACCATCGTCTCTATCAGCAGCAGCTCGGCTGCCTCCTGTTCGCCGCCGTCACGTGCCGGCCCGATCTCTCCTACGTCGCTAGCCAGCTCGCACAGTATCTGAAGCGACCTGAAGGGGAGAATCTACTAGATCTACGCCGAGCACTACAGTATTTCATCTCCACTCCCGACGTCGGCCTCACCTACGAAGCCAACCTCACCGCTACTCTGCAGCTTCATGGCTACGTGGATGCCGATCATGCTGGAGATGTTGATAACAGACGCTCCCGTACAGGATTCATTTTCCAACTCCAACCTGCTGGACTCATCTCTTGGAACTCACAGAAGCAGGAACTCATCGCTCTTTCGTCAGCTGAAGCAGAATTCATCGCAGCTAGCGCAGCTGTTCGCGAAGGTCTGTACCTGATGGAGCTCCTGCAAGAGGCGAAAGTGACGATGAACGGGCATTTCACGTTACTCTGCGACAATCAGAGCGCGATAAAGATCGCGAACAAGCCCGGCTTCGTCAACCGCACCAAGCACATCGGCCTTCGCTACTTCTTCGTGAAGGACGAAATCGACAAGGGGAGAGTCAAGCTGACTTACTGCCCGACCGGTGACATGGCAGCCGACTTCCTGACGAAGAAACTGCCACGTCAGCAGTACCAGCACTGCGCCAACCTCTGTGGGATCACCAAGAAATCCCACGTGGCCCACCTTCTGGAATGAAGGGGAGTGTTGGAATAACCGAAAGGTTATAAAGGCATTCCCGAAGTTGCTCCACTGTACTAGTACCGCATTAGCTCATATAGAGCACGCGGAATCTCGAGGGTCACCCGAAGGTCAACCGTCCAAGATAGTCAACGGTCGTGACCCTTGACGATCCAGTAACCGCGCGACAGTTAACAGACTGCAACACGGTAACTGTCGAGAATAGCAATAGTCGTGGTTACTGTAGCTATGTAATGCAGTTAATAAGGGAATGTACCCCTCAGAGTACATGACTAGATAGTTCACTATTTAATTTCTTGTACTCCTACTTTCTAATCATCTTGTTCTCTTTCAACCTTTTCTTAACAAGGTCACTACAGAGACTTCACTGTCTCCTCTCAGGCTTAACACGTTCTATCCTATCCACTGATCCTTTGGTTGTATCAGCACAGATTATGTCTGAACTCTGTAACGAATCGTGTTACCACGTTACTGGCACAATCCAGAAATAAATCATAAGTGAAAAAGTTTTCAAATACAGAAGAGGTAACTGAATTTGTAACGTGTTACGCACTGGTAACAAACGCTTTCCTCATTTTTCGCCTCTGATGTTGATGCAATGGCAAATCGACTCCAACCACGGTTTATACGCAGGATGTCACAGTAAATTAGGGTTGGTGTCAATCGAGGACTTCTCGGTCGTAGCTGGAGGTACTGGGGAACTTTTCAAAATGTATGACAATGCACGCCAGGTCACTGTAGCACAATTTTCGCGCGTTAACGGTAATCTTGACCCCCCTCCATTTTCGATGTACAATGGGCAATTCCCTGGGTTGTTTATTGCGGTGGGAAGAAACCACGGTCTGCACGTCATACATCCCAAGCAGTTCGGCGTTTACCACCCAATGCTGCGTTCCCATTTTTCTAATGCGCACGTCGCCCTGCTCGGCGCTCTACCTTCCGCCTGTCGCCCTCCCATCCGCACGTCGCTCTACCTTCCACGCGTCGCCCTCCCATCCGATCGTCGCTCCCGTCACCCCCCCTTCCGCCCGTCGCCCTCCCTTCCGCCTGTCGCCCTCCCTTCTGCCCGTCGCCCACCCTTCGGCCCGTCGCTCTCCCTTCCGCACGCCGCTCTCCCTTCCGCCCGTAGCCTTTCCTTTGTCTCGTTGCCCTTCCTCCCGCTCGTCCCCTCGAAATCCCCGTCTTCCTCTCTCCCCGTCGTCATCGCCATCCCTCCCGTCTCCCTTCCCATCGCGCACACTTGTCACCCTCCCTTTTCTACCCCTACACACACCTTTCCCTCCCCCAAATAATCGCCTTTCAACCCCACACTGCTTACCTCTCTCCCTTTGCCCACCCATCATCTGCACTGCTCCCCACCATCCTCCCCCCAGCTCCCAATCCCTGCATCTCCTCATCCCCTTCCCTGCTTCCCCGCATCCCCCTCCTTGCTTCTCCTCATCCCCTTCCCTGCTTCCCCTCATCCCCCTCCCTGCTTCTCCTCATCCCCTTCCCTGCTTCCCCTCATCCCCCTCCCTGCTTCTCCTCATCCCCTTCCCTACTTCCCCTCATCCCGTTCCCTGCTTCTCCCCATCCCCTTCCCTGCTTCCCCCCATCCCCTTCCCTGCTTCCCCCCATCCCCTTCCCTGCTTCCCCCCATCCCCTTCCCTGCTTCCCCCCATCCCCTTCCCTGCTTCCCCCCATCCTGTTCTCTTCTTCCCCCCATCCCCTTCCCTGCTTCCCCCCATCCCCTTCCCTGCTTCCCCCCATTCCGTTCCCTGCTTCCCCCCATCTCGTTCCCTGCTTCCCCCCATCCCCTTCCCTGCTTCCCCACATCCCGTTCCCTGCTTCCCCCCATCCCCCTCCTTGCTTCCCCCCATCCCCCTCCTTGCTTCCCCTCACCCATTCTGTTCCGCCCACCCTCTCCCATTCTGTTCCGCCCACCCTCTCCCATTCTGTTCCCACCTGCCCTCCCCATCCCTGCCTTTCCCTCCCTGCCCTGCTCTTCCCTTCCCCATCCCTTCTCAACCCTTCCCCTCCTTTTCATACCCTCCCCTTTGTCAGAATATATTTTATATATATTTCTGTATAAGTGCATATAGTTTTAGCTGTAGTGTAGTTAAATAGCTGTCCTGTTTGGTGGTGCACCACTCCTTGCATGTTTCTCATCTATTTGTACTTGCAATTCTATAGTGAAGCCCTCTTTGCTTTGGCAAATTCTCTCGACACTCATCTTAACTAGCCTAAACCCATGGCTCCTAAGCCTAACTTATGAACCTATTTGAACATGGTATCAGAGCACCAAAGATCCTGGACTGTTACTGTTTAATCATCCCATGGGCCCACCGTTAGCTTCCGCCAATGCGCCTATTTTCTGCACGTCGCGCGCCTCGGGCGTGCGCCGGTTTCTGCCCATCGTGCGCCCCGAGGCGCGCGACGATTTCCTGCCCGTCGTGCGCCCGTCGGCGCGCGACGGTTTCTGCCGTGCCGCGCGCAGACCGTACGACCCGCGCAAGGCCCGCGCGCAGCCCGTACAGCCCGCGCCAGGCCCGCGCGCGGCCCGTACAGCCCGCGCCAGGCCCGCGCGCAGCCCGCACAGGCCGCACCAGGCCCGCGCGCACCTGCCCTGCCGCGCGCGCACCTGCACTGCCCCTACTGTCGCCAGCGCAGCTCCTACCCCGCCCCCCCCCCGCCCCCCCCTTCTCCTCCATCCCCCTGCTGCGCGTGCAGCAGTGGGGGGGAGGGTATGGGGGTGGCGGGTGTGAGTAATCTACTACTCCTCTCTCTCCCACTGCTGCAGCTGCCGCTGAGGGGGGTGGTGTGTGGGAGCCGAGGGAGTGGCGCTAGGGATGCATAAGGGGATGTGAAAAGGGGGTGTGGGACAATGGGGGGAGGTTGAAAGGAGGTAGCCGCCATGAAGCCAGCAGCTCCAGTAGTCCGGATGCCCTTGCTCCGGTAGCCCGTGAGCCCGTTGCTCCAGTCGCCCGTGGGTCAGTTGCTCCAGCCGCTCGTCTAGCCGCGGAGCCAGTTACTCCAGTAGTCCGGATGCCCTTGCTCCGGTAGCCTGTGAGCCCGATGCTCTAGTCGCCCGTGTGCTAGCAGCTTCAGCTGCCGCCTCCTACCTCCTCTCCTCTCATAGTCCCTCCTCCTCCTCACTTGCCCTCTTCTTCTGCTGCGCTCTGCAGGGTGTACCACTTCAGGGGGTGTTCTGCCCATGGCTATTCCTGCATGCACTTAGGGGGTGTGTCAAAATTTATTTTATAGTGCATGTAGTTTTAGCTGTAGTGTAGTGACATAGCTGTCCTGTTTGGTGGTGCACCACTCCTTGCATGTTTCTCATCTATTTGTACTTGCAATTCTATAGTGAAGCCCTCTTTTCTTTGGCAAACTCTCTCGACACTCATCTTGCCTAGCCTAAACCCATGGCTCCTAAGCCTAACTTATGAACCTATTTCAACACCCTTCCCCCTCACTCCTCACCTCTAGTTCCCTTGCATGTGCACCCATGACTGTCTCCCCATACATGCTTTCATCATGTCCTCTTGCCGTTGCCGTTGTTACCTCACACCTCACATCGCCTCCCCCATGTTTCTTCACACAATTCTTTTGCAGAAGCAGAGGAGCAAAAGTTGCAAGCCAAGGCCCCGCTGGTCGGTGCTTTACACCGTACCACCTGTTTCTTGTGTGTTATATTGTATGCAGGCATGATATTGTTTCACTGTTGGAGGTTTGCAATTCAAAGGCACACTACATAGTTTTGTTTCTACAGTTCAAGGTATTCTTCCAAGATGCATGGACGCTATGAGTGTCAAAAACGTACATAAAGGCATGTACCTAATACTTTTGATTGTAGGCAAAGGTCAAGGGGAACAATACGACTGAACCTTTCTCAAGGCCTTGAAACAAACATGAGGGGAAGTGTTATTCTACGAGCATGGCATGGGATGGGATGATGGGCTGAGGCGAGTTGAAGTACCAGAAAAATCTTCAGTGTAGTCACTGCAATAGCCAGAGAGAGGGAGATAATGCGAAGGATTGGGAGGGGGAACAAGAAGTGGAGACAGGGAAGAGGGGGAAGAGGGAAGCAGGGGGGAAGAGAAAGGGGGAGATAGGACGACGTAAGAGGGTACGCAGAGAGGGAAATGAGCGGAAGCAGGGGGGGAAATGAGGAAAAGCGGGGCAAGAAATGAGGGGAAGAAGGAAGGGAAATGAGGGGAAGAAGGAGGGGAAACGAGGGGAAGGAGGGGAAATGAGGGGAATAAGGAGGGTAAATGAGGGGAAGAAGGAGGGGAAATGAGGGGAAGCAGACGGGAATGAGGGGAAATGAGGGGAAGGGGGAAAATGAGGGGAAGGAGGGGAAATGAGGGGAAGGAGGGGAAATGAGAGGAAGGAGGGTAAACAGGGGAAGGAGGGGAAATGAGGGGAAGCAGACGGGAATGAGGGGAAATGAGGGGAAGGAGGGAAAATGAGGGAAGGAGGGGAAATGAGGGGAAGGAGGGGAAATGAGAGGAAGGAGGGTAAACAGGGGAAGGAGGGGAAATGAGGGGAAGCAGACGGGAATGAGGGGAAGAAGGAGGGGAAATGAGGGGAAGAAGGAGGGGAAATGAGGGGAAGGAGGGGAAATGAGGGGAAGGAGGAGAAATGAGGGGACGAAGGAGGGGAAATGAGGGGAAGGTGGGGAATTGAGGGGAAGGAGGGAAAGGAGGGGAAATGAGGGGAAGAAAGAGGGGAGATGAGGGGAAGAAGGAGGGGAAACAAGGGGAAGAAGGAGGGGAAATGAGGGGAAGAAGGAGGGGAAATGAGGGGAAGAAGGAGGGGAAATGAGGGGAAGGAGGGGAAACGAGGGGGAGAAGGATGGTGAATGAGGGGAAGGAGGGGAAATGAGGGGAAGGAGGGGAAATTAGGGAAAGGAGGGGAAATGAGGGGAAGAAAGAGGGGAAATGAGGGGAAGAAGGAGGGAAAACGAGGGGAAGAAGGAGGGTGAATGGGGGGAAGGAGGGGAAATGAGGGGAAGAAGGAGGGAAAATGAGGGGAAGAAGGAGGGGAAATGAGGGGAAGGTGGGGAAATGAGGGGAAGGAGGGTAAATGAGGGGAAGAAGGTGGGGAAACGAGGGGAAGAAGGAGGGGAAATGAGGGGAAGAAGGAGGGTAAACTAGGGGTAGAAGGAGGGGAAACGAGGGGAAGCAGGAGGGCGAATGAGGGGAAGAAGGAGGGGAAATGAGGGGAAGAAGGAGGGGAAATGAGGGGGGGAAGGAGGGGAAATGAGGGGGGGAATGAGGGGAAATGAGGGGAAGCAGGGGAAATAAGGGGAAGAATGAGAGGAAACGAGGGAAAGGAGGGGAAATGAAGGGAAGAAGGAGGGGAAATGAGGGGAAGAAGGAGGGGAAATGAGGGGAAGGAGGGGAAATGAGGGGAAGGAGGGGAAATGAGGGGAAGAAGGAGGGGAATTGAGGGGAATGAGGGGAAGCAAATGGGAATGAGGGGAAGCAGACGTGAATGAGGGGAAGCAGACGGGAATGAGGTGAAGCAGACGGGAATGAGGGGAAGCAGACAGGAAAGAGGGAAAGCAGAGGGAAAAATAAGGGGAAGGGAACAAGAGGGAATAGAAGGGCAGGGAAGCGAGGGCAAGGGATGGGCGGGTGGGAGAAGGCAAGCGGGAGTAGAGGCGCAAGGAGAGGCAGCGCGACGAGGGTGTTGGCGCGCTGATGGCAGAGGAGGCGCGGCGAGGCGAGCGGAGGCGCGACGAGGGGAGGCTCCCAGAAATGAGGGGAGGCGTGACGACGAGAAACGAGGCACGAGAGGATGCGCGACGAAAGGATGGGTGGCGCGACGGGGGGTGGCGCGTGCTGATATAACTGAAGATCGAAGTGGACAGGATAAAGATGCTAAGTTGTTGGAAAGACAACGGAGTCTTAAGAGTGACCTTGTTAATAATAGTTGAAGGAGAACAAGATGATTAAGATCGAATTACAAGGGAAATAAATAGATCCATAGCTAGCCATGTACTCTAAGGGGTACATTCCCTTATTGCAACTGTATTGCATAACTACAGTAACTGCGAATGTTGCCGTTCTTTAGCAGTTACATGGTTGCATTGCGTAACCTCTCGTAACCTCTGATGCGGTTGTCGGTTGGTCAACAGTCACGACTGTTGACTTTCGGTGACTGTTGACCTTCGGGTGGCTCTCGAGCTGCTGGGTGTGTCAGAACTTTATGATGTTTATATTGTGTAGACTGTAGTGGGGTAGCCCATAAGGGGTACAACCCAATTTAGGGCTAGTATTTGTACCCATCTTCTTGTCAATGTAATTCATTCTCGTTCTCTATTTTGACATGGTTTTAGAGCAGGTCCTCTTCCAGGACCGTTTTTTTTAGGGCCCACCAACTAGCACGCTGCCCGTAGCACTGCCCCACCCGTCGCGCTGCCCCGCGCACGCCTTGCCCTACCCTGTGTCGCGCCGCCCTGCTGGCCGCGCGTCGCCCCCTGCAGCCCGCGCGCCGCCCCTTGCAGCCCGCGCGCTGCCCCTTCTGCCCGTGCGCCGCCCTTTGTAGCCAGCGCGCCGCCTCTGTCAGCGCGCGTGCCGCCTCTGCATCCCGCGCGCCGCCCTTGCAGCCCGCGCGCTGCCCCTTCCTGCCCGCGCGCCGCCCTTTGCAGCCCGCGCGCCGCCCCTTGCAGCCCACACACCGCCCCTGGCAGACCGCGCGCCGCCCGTGCCGCCCACGCGCTGCCCCTTGCAGCCCGCGTGCTGCCCTTCCCTGCCCGCGCGCCGCCCTGCTAGCTGTGCGCCGCCATTCCTGCCGTGCGCGTTTCCCTAAGTGCGCACGCGCCACCCTGCTTTGCCAATTACGGCTACTCTCAGCGTTCTTACGTTCGATCCTGAGGGTCGTCCTATCCAGTTTTATGCGTGGCTCGATAGCTTACAGCTGTCCTTACTGAACAATTCTAGAGACGGCATTTCGCTGTTTGACCACATGTCTAGAGCCTCTCTCGCCCCGCCTGGCACAACTAACAGAATGACTCGCTCACAGTGGCTTAGCCGTGACCCTGCTGCTCGCCTAGCCGTTTGCAACCACCTAGCGTTAGCGGAACGCGCTCACTTTGGCCAGCACAAGACTGCTAAAGCCCTGTACGACGCTGTAGTCGCTCGTTACTCTTCCCCTGCCACTGCTGCTCTCGTCCGCCTTATACTGCCCTACCTATTTCCCGAGCTGTCCTCCTTTGCTACAGTTGAGGACCTCATCACCCACCTTCGCACTAGCGACACTCGCTACCGCGCTGCCCTCCCAGCCGAGTTTTTAGCAAAGTACCCGCCCCCGATGTACATCACGCTCTACTTCATAGTCACCCGCCTCCCTGACTCTCTTCGCGCAGTCTGGGACACTTTTCTCCCACTTAGCCCTACAGACCTTACTGTCGACCTCCTCGAGAAGGACCTCCTTGCAGCTCAGACTAGCATAGTTGCTGTAGGTGCTGCTCGAGGCACTCCTCACACTCCTTTCTTTGAGGGGTGTTCCCCTTCCCCCCTTCTTCCCCCTTCCTACGCTTCTGGTGCTGCTGTTGACTTCCCAGGTGCTGAGGAGGTCGGGGCTGCTTCCGCTCCTAGTGGGAATTGCCGCAGCGGCAAGGGCAAGGGCGACAAGGGTGGTGGAGTTGGCAGCGGGGGGGGGGTGGTGGTGGAGGCGGTGGAGGTGGTGGAGGTGGCGGAGGTGGCGGAGGTGGCGGTGGTAGTGGCGGAGGGAGTGGGGGAGTCGGTGGCGGCAGTGGTGGCGGCGGTGGGAGTGGTGGCGGCAGTGGGAGTGGTGGCGGCGGTGGCAGCGACAGTGGGGGTGGTGGTGGTGGCGGCAGTGGTGGTGGTCGGGGTGGAGCTGTTCAGAGGGGAGGTTCTGGCGGTGGCCAGAGGCAGCAGCAGCAGCGCTCGAGCGGGACCCCTACGCCCCAGCAGCTTCGTGAGTGGTTTGCTCAGCGTGGGGCGTCTGGGGGTAGTGCTCGCTGCCCGTACGTCATTCGCACAGGTGACCGCGCTGGTCAGACATGCGGTAAGTTTCACACCCAGCACCGCTGCTTCTCCCGCCTTGACGACGCTTGGCGCGCAGAGTTTGGCGACGAGGCTGAGCTCCCCCGCTGGCTAGAGCTGCTTAGGAACAATGTTGATATATTTTCTCTTGACTATGATGCTATTCTTGTGGCCATGTATGCTTTGACTATTAGTGCTGAGGGTGACTGTTACCTGTGTGTGCTGCCTGACCCGGATATAGACGCTGTTGCTCTAGGTGCTAGTGCGTCTGCTCTCTCTGGTACTGCGCCTGCTGAGGCCTTGCACACCTTCACGTTTGACTCAGGTGCTTCCCGCTGCTTCTTTCGCGACAGTACCACACTCACACCACTCCCTACACATGTTGCAGTAGTCCGTCTGGCCGACCCCTCAGGGGGGCCAGTCCTTGCACGTTCCTCCATTGTTCTCCCGTGTCCGGCGGTTCCGTCTGGCTCACTCTCAGGTCTTCACCTCCCCTCGTTCTCTACGAACTTGGTGAGTACCGCTGCCCTCCAGGATGCGATGGTCACTACCACCACTCCTGGGGGTCAGCGTGTGTCGATCTGCACGTGTGCACGGACGGGCCGTCACCTGGCCACGTTCACCCGTCGGCCTGGGTCGAGTCTGTACACACTGACTACTGAGCCTCCTCAGGTTGCTGCGTCTGGTCAGGTGTCCGCGTCAGGTCAGGTAGCAGCCCCCTGCTCGTGTCGCCTCCTGTCGCACCAGACTCTCCTTTGGCACCACCGCCTTGGTCACCCCTCTCTGCCACGCCTCCGTGGCATGCACACCCGTCTCCTTGTCTCTGGTCTTCCCAGGTCTCTGCCTCCCCTCCCGCCCTCGCCTGCCCCGCCCTGCCTTCCTTGTGTCGAGGGGCGGCAGCGCGCTGCTCCTCACTCCTCCTCGTTTCCTCGGACGACTGCTCCCCTCCAGACTCTCCACATGGACGTGTGGGGCCCAGCCCGAGTCCGTGGTCAGGGCCGCGAGCGATACTTTCTGCTGGTTGTTGACGACTACTCGCGTTACACCATGGTCTTCCCCTTGCGCAGCAAGGGGGAGGTCCCTGATATCTTGATCCCTTGGATCCGAGCTATCCGTCTCCAGCTGCGCGAGCGGTTCCGCACGAACCTTTCTGTCCTGCGTCTGCACTCTAACAGAGGTGGTGAGTTCTCCTCCGACCTCTTGCGGGACTATTTTCGTAGAGAGGGCATCCTCCAGTCGTTCACGCTTCCGGCCTCCCCACAGCAGAATGGGGTTGCTCATACCGCATTGGCTTAGTCATGGAGGTGGCTCGTATTTCCATGATCCATGCAGCTGCTACCCATTTTCTGTGGTTGTTTGCGGTCTGGTACGCTGCGCATCAGCTCAACTTCTGGCCCCGTGTCTCCTTGCCGGAGACCTCGCCTACACTGCGTTGGACGGGGGAGGTTGGCGATGCGTCGGTGTTCCGGGTCTGGGGCTCTCGTGCCTTTGTCCGCGATACCACCGTGGACAAGCTCTCCTCTTGCGCCATTCCCTGCGTCTTCCTTGGCTTTCCCCCTGACGCGCCTGGTTGGCAGTTTTACCACCCCACCTCGCGCCAGGTTCTACCCTCTCAGGACGTCACGTTTAACGAGTCAGTTCCCTTTTACCGTCTCTTCCCCTACCGCACTGCCCCTCTCCCCCCCCCGCCGCTCTTCCTCGCTCCAGGTCCCCCTCCGGTAGACCCCCTTCCCCCTCAGGGTACTTCTCCTTTAGGTGTGTCTCAGGTAGACCCACTCCCCTTGGCTGAGCCTGTCGAGGTCACTAGCGACTCGAGCGTGCTAAGCCTGAGCGTGTGGAGCCTTAGGTTGCGGAGCCTTGGGGTGTTAAGCCTGAGCGTGTGGAGCCTGGGGGTGCTGAGCCTGGGAGTGCGGAGCCTGGGGGTGCTGAGCCTGGGGTTACTGAGTCAGGGGGTGTTGAGCCTAGGGGTGCCGAGCCTGAGGGTGCTGAGTCTTGGGGTGCGGAGCCTGGGGGTGTGAAGCCTACGGGTGCTGCGTCTGCTGGAGGTTATCCGAGTGCCTCGCCGCAGCGGTCTAGCCGGCGGGAGCCTCTCTCACCTCCGAAGTTGCGCGAGTGGCTTGCTCGGCGCACCCGCCTTCGGAGTCGCGCTGCTGGAGCTGGACACTCTACCGCTGGAGGTCCTGGAGCTGCTGGTGCTTAAGGTTCAGGAGCTGGAGGTACTGGAGGTATTCCTGGAGGTACTGGAGCTGGAGGTTCTCCTGGAGGCGTTGGAGCTGGAGCCGCTAGAGCTGGATGCGCTGGAGCTGGAAGCGCTGCCGCTGGGCGCTGCCGCTGGAGGCACTGCCGCTGGCGGGACTGGAGCTCGAGGCGCGAGAGCTGGAGGTACTGGAGGTGCTGGAGCTACTGGAGGTGCTGGCGCTGGAGGTGCAAGTGCTACTGAAGCTGGGGGTGCTGGTGCCGCTGGAGCTGGAGGCACAGGAGACGCTGGAGGTGCTGGTGCTGCTGGTACCCAAGGTGCTGCTGGAGCTGGCGGTGCTGGTGATGGAGGCACTGGAGCTGGCGGTACTGGTGCTGGAGGCACTGTGCAGCAGCGACCGTTTTTCTTGCCGCCGCCGCAGCTGTTACAGCTACCGCCTACCTCGGTGCTCCGTCAGGTTTTTAGTCTTCCTTCGTCCACTGCACTTCCTCCAGACTCACCGCTGCCTGCCCCCCCTCGTTACACTAAGCACCCAGCATCCCTTACAAAGCGTCGTGAGCCTTAATCTCGTCCTGCCTCCCCCGTTCGCACTGTTCGCCGTGCTCGTCGTGTTCCCCGTCCTCGTCCTCCACCTGTCCCCGGCACGCACACCATGGCACTTCGTCCTTCCTCTGTTCCACAGTGTGTCCCCTTGCCGTCTCCTCCGGTATCCTCACTTCCTGAGGTTCCGGACCCTGAGTCTGACTTGGTTCATGTTGCCCACCCTACTGTCACGCGTCTTCTCGCCACTGTTGTCACTGACCCTTCTTTTGAGTCCACTGCTGCGTCTGCCTTAGGTTCTGAGCTTGTTGACTTTGCTGCTGCGTGTCGTCTAGACTACGCCACTAGTCTTGTTGCTGAGTCTGAGTCTGTCTGTCCTCCGTCCGTCGGGGGTGAGTGTGCTCTTGGCACGGACGTCCTTGAGGACAGGCAGGAGGACTTTGAGGGTTTTGCAGCCACTATACCTCATCTCGTGGCCATGCTGCTTGCACCTGAGGGAGA